GAAGAAGGGAAAGGTACAATTTTTAATTACTCCGTACGTGCGAGAGAGTATAGAGAATTTTGGGAAATTAATCACCACCAGTTTAATATTCCACCTGGCCTGGCTCGGTATTTATACTTTAATAAACGAATATCTTACGTTCTCCAGGGTTTCAAGATTTTCACCTCCTCCCCTCCCCCTCGAGTTAATGAATTTCAATTAAAAAGTTGGCCAAACTCTCGCAGCAACGAATAATAAAGCTACACGCCGAAAAAAGAAGTTCTAATTGGAAGGCGAACAAATTGCACGCCCCCGCATAATAATTATTTTCCGCGACGGATTCTTCCAACCGGAGCGGGAGGAGAGACAGACCTCTTGTTCGCGATTAATTATCTCGAAACGCGAGTTTTCGCGACGATCGGTTCGGGATATAAACGAAACGAAACATCATTATCCGGGCTATATAAGCGAGTCTATTCCGAGGGATCAAACATCACCTTTCCGTTTGTTGAATATTTAATTTCACGCTGTAACGATATCCTTACGAGAATATCTCTGTTGTTCGTGTAATTTTATGACGCATTGCAACTCGAAGGATCGAAAGCGCAACGAATCATTAATGAATCGTCACTTTGCCTCGACGATATTATTGATTAAATATTCAATTGGACATAGATGTATATTCTGATGCTACTTTTATCATCCGATTCTACGATTTAAAATTACAATTTTAACGCAAATTCCTATCCAACCCCACCGATTACCATTGATTATCATTTATTACACGATTCTCGGCACTGCAAACTATTCTAAAATTGCAAAGAATAACGCGATTCGTAATGAGAAAAAGTGTTTGCAATGTTAACGTAGTCGTAAGTTCTTCGCTTGTGGACTGTAAACCAGCTAACTGTCTCTCGCAAAGTTACAACTATAGTATGGTATCCGACGAACGAAACATGATCTATAATACTAACCGATCGTCACGAGAGTTTATTTTGAAGTGACGTTAGAAGTAGTCAACTTCAGTTGAATCCCTTCTTCCTAGCTAATTGGGAGGATCCTAGTTCTTGGGTGGGGCATACCAATGACCAATAACATCGCGAGCAGTGCTCACTTGGCAACATGGTCCAAGGACAAAGAAATTCTACGCCTGACTTGTACACAAACATCGCACGGCAAACGAACAAGTGTCTTTCCTATCTCCAAAACAAAGAGCGATGTAGCACGCAAAGTCAACGGTGTTACTTGAGAATCGACTCAGGCTCGTACCAAACACATAAAAACAGTGCTTGCGAAGTCACTCTTTGTTTATATCTATTAGCGGCCCATGGAAACAGGAAAGGAACTATCTCGAACAAATGTCTGTCTACAATCTCGCGAGCCATAGGCGCTCGCGAACAGAGAGACATTTATGAAAAGTAAAGACAAAAGTCATCCTTCTTCGTCCGTGGAAGAGGATCCATTCATCCGTGACAATTAGGGAAACGAGGGAAACGAATCCCCGAGAGTTCGATGCGCATGCACGGGACAACACGAGGATGGTCGGATCAAAGTCGAGCCGCATTCGCACTTGGGTATCGCTCGTTTTGATTGATAAGAGAAACGAGCTGGGCCGGGTATCGCATCGGGATGGGTTCGACAATGGGACGACAGATCGGACATCAGTCGGTCGTTTCGATTCGAGCCAGTTACCACGGGGTTAATACAATGGGTCAATCAAGTAGCCGGGTGGGTATACACCGATGTCTACGGCTATTTGTACGTTCTATGCGACTCGACGTGCGTATTATGCCGAGTGGAACGCGGCATTGTGATAGAAGTAACCCTCGCGAAGTGGTGGACACGTCCAATCGTGAGGATCCTGGATTGATATTCTATCGCTTCAATTAGCGATCGTGGTGGCCGAGCTCTTCCCCCGCTTTCGACGACTATTCGAATCGAATCGTTCATCGGTTCGGAATCGATCGTCCAAGTGATTAGTTAGACTCGTTGACAATTCGTGCCGAGACTAAAATGGATGGACGGTTAATGAAATCATGAATTTTATCGAGTACTAATTTTTATTAATCATCACGTACACGCGTATTGATTGATTGCCTCCATTCCACTTTGATCACGGCAATTGTTTTGCCGTGTTATTTTTTTATTTTTTTCTTTAAATCAATTGCGATGAATTTAGATATTCTTAATTGTATTTTTTATATTGTGAGAGTTGCTCGATCGTGGAAATTAAAAAAAAAATATCTTGTAAATTCATTATTTCTGATTTATCCTCTTTTAACGATCAAATCATTTGTACATTGCTCGTGAAAGAAAGAAGAAAGAGCGACGATTCGATAATTTTGTCTTCTGATCCTCGATTCAAAATAAAATTTTCTAATTTGTACAAAATATCGCCTGTAATCTTATTTACTCAACAAATTATAGAATAAAGTGGCAAAATTCGATTTCGCATAAATGATATGAATCCTTAAATTTTCCATAACGTTTCGACAATATTATTTTTCCGTGAAACGTGAAAAATCAAAAGTATTCACAATTTCGATAGAAATGGTTAAATTAACGAAATGATTAATTTCCAAAACCAAGGTGAAACGAGATTCAACTAACTAAGGTAAACAAAAGCTGATAAATATGCAAACGTTGACAAATTCTTGCCTTAATAAATCAGAATTGAGTGGATAAGCTTGGGAAAGCGGGATCGTTAACGAACTACGGGGAGAGGCTTGCAGAATTTTGAGCAGGAAATCAGCGTTAACGGTGTTTCGCTACTTGGAAAGTGGATACGAGGGACGACAAGGATGGAATTTTCACGTGACCACGGAATTAAGCACGACCGATCGAGTTACGATCGCTAGTAGTTTGGCAAACACGTTGCTTTGGTTTTGCCTCTTCGACCTATCCGCTTCAAAATTCACGATTACGTATTCATGGCCGGTGGAATAAACGGCGGGATCAGACTACGCGACTAATAATCCGTTCTTTCCCCCCAGGGAGGGGAGCACGCGACTCGTTGGCCAGATGGCGCGCAAAGGCGACCCGTGCTCGTTCGTTAATGGAAGATGGCGTTGCGAGCAGGTTGCAATCGGTCACCCGTTTGACATTTGCGAGTTGATAATAATTACCATTTAATACGTTTAGTATCGGGTGTAAGTATTTAGTTACAGGAGAGAAGAGGTGTAAGTTGGTTACTTGAGAAGATATTGAACAGAGTGAAATGGCGTGGAATAATTAAAAAGTAAAAAATGATCACTTTTGTGGAAACAAATTATGGAATTATTTATAGAGATAAAAATTTGATCGGATGTAATTTGGTCACTGAGAAGAGATTGGTTATTTAGAAAGGTTACTTAAAGATATAAAGAGAGAAAATTGTTGATGGTAAATGGCGTGGAATAATTACAAAGAGAAAGGCGGTTATTTTTGTCGAAACAAATTATGGAAATCGAGAAAAATTTGGATATCGGTATAACGTTTAACTAAAGTGATTAACTTTATTCTTTTCAAGCAAACATTTGATCCATTCGATTTTTGTTTTGTAAATTTATAAGTAAGTATAAATGCTTCTCGAAGAATCGAGTCGAATCGAACTCGAGTTAATACATACAATCGTCCCAATTACCTCTCGAAAAGAGACACGATCCATCCTCGTGGTTAACTTTGCCAATCTATGGCTACAATGGATTTGTAAAAGTTCAATTTAATTCGAGGAGATTTATGTGAGGACCGATGCGTTCTCCCATGGTTCAACTGCTGCTCTCTTCTTAATTACGTCTCCTTGCGCCATTTTACGATCCCCATTTATCACTCGGCTGAGAATATATATATATATATATACATATGAACACTGCGCTGATGTTCCATGTTAGAAGAGGTTTAATTTTATAAACGTCTTTCACCCCTGTTCTTTCACTATATCTCGCCAGGTATGTGAAATACAATAATGATTCTTCTACTATTATTATCACTGCTGCTACTAAACTACTATGTTTTTTTTTTTTATTATTTCTTCGAGGTCGATTTCTCTAAATACGGCGATTTACGTACGACGGATATCGATCGTACGTGATACGAAAGCGTTCAGATTCAGAGTCGTGTATTTTTGTCGTCGACTGTGCAATTTTCTTCGAATCAAGAAACCGCGGCTACGCGGTTTAAATTCGCGGTAGATTGAATGGGAACAGTGCTATAAAATCAGATAGCATGGGAATATCTTGTGCTCGGGTGCACGTAATGCGCGCGATCACGATTTACGAATCATTGTGCGGAAGAGAGCGTTATCCACTATCGCCGTTTAAGGTCGTCAGATGCTATTACGTCCGAGAAAATACGTACACGAGACGATGCACGAAGCGAGGATTATCAGGAAAATTTCTTCTGTGAGTGGTCGTGAAATAAAATGGCTAGTTAGCGAACTAACTACACTCGATCGCTTTCAAAGGGAGAAAGTATAGAAAAAGATCGATTTTTGATAATCGATTAAATAACGAACCACACAAATTACTAACCATTCATTAATTATCAGTATTTATAAAATTCAAGGTAGCACGAAACAAAATATTCAATTAATTTCAGATCGCGATCAATTGACCAATTACTAGATAAACTATGCTACTATGCCACTAACCATTCACTTGATATTAACTATTATAGTGTCATATATAAATTCAAGGGGAAAAAGCAAAGCTTTTGGCAGGCTGAAATAAAAATCTAATATCAGTATCAAAATTCAAAATTCGAAAGAAAAGCTCGTGATAGACGTGGAACAAATTAATTTTGGGATCCCAATTAAATAACGACTCACACATAAACTATGCTACTAACCATTCATCAACTATCAGTATCAAAATTTACAAAAAGATCAATTTTTCGTAACAAACAATAAAATATTCAATTAATTTAGGATCGCAATTAAATAACTAACTATATATATATAAACTAACGCCACTAACCATTCATTTGATATACAACTATCAATATCAAAATTCCAAAAAAAAAAAAAGAAAGCTTTAGGCTGAAACAAAGCTCGATCCAAAATATTCAATCGATTTAGAATCGCAATTAAATAACGAATCGCCATTCGATATACAACTGTCAGTATCAAAGG